GTATTTTAGGTTTGCAACAATAAAAAAACAACCCAAACAACTTATGTGCCACGTGTTTGGCTACTTTTTGCATTTTCAGGATTTTGATCCTATTTTAGGTCTCCAAACGCCCCCATATATATTTTTAACATAAATGTATTAAATAGGTTAAAAGTATAAATTACAAACGAATAAATAACCTATTTGATCTTGGAGGCTCACTTGTTTCTACGGATATCCAGAGACGGTTCGGCGGAGGGAGGCTTGGGACCTTCTGAAAGAACTGGCAGACAGGAGCAATGGACCCTGGATGGTGATAGGGGACTTCAATGATATACTATATGAGTCTGAGAAGAAAGGGAGGGTTCCGAATCAACTTTGGAGATTACGTGGCTTTCGGGAATGTGTTATGGCTTGTGGCTTGAGAGATTTTCCTTTCATGGGTTACCACTTATGATATGCACTAGTTTGTAGTGCATAAATGTATGTTTTTATATTTATTCTGTGTGGATTGTTTACCGTTTTTAGTTAGTTTTTAAGCAATCATCTTCATTTGTTTGTAATTGATTTTAATCATTTTTAGTAAGTTGTAAAGTAGTAGTAGAGTTATTGGCAAGGAAAAGAAGTGAAAAGAAGAAGAAAAATACCCAGGTGCACAGACCCGGCCGGGTCAGACACTTCACCCGGTCGGGTCTGATTTAACAGATGCAACTACTCAGGAAATTACATCACCCGGTCGGGTGAGGTATTTCACCCGGTCGGGTCCGACTTGACCCGGAACACCAGAACGTGCCGAAGATCGCCAGAACATGGAGGATATTTGATTTTGACATGCACCCGGTCGGGTGAGCACTTTACCCGGTCGGGTACCCGGCCCAAGGTGTTGAAAAACACCTATAAATAGCACACTTTTCCTTCACTATTTTTCATCCCTTCTTCCATACTCTTAAGCTCAGTTTAGAATAGTATTTCTTTTATATTTTTTATAGCATGTTTAGTCTCCAAATGAGGAGCTAAACTCTTCCATCTTGGTTTTGCTCCTTTGAAGTTTAATGAATTTGTAAGTTGTGAGTTATTATCTTTAATCTTCTTCCTTGAATATTAATTCTTCCTTTAAATACTATTTCTATATCAATGTTGGGGAGTGTTACTAAGATGACAATTAGTTAACATCTTGACATTAGTTATAGTAATAGTTATTTCTTCCTCTACGTTAATATCGGGGAGTGTTACTAAGATGACAATTAGTTAACATCTTGATATTAACTATAGTAGGATCCATCTTCTTTAATATTCTTTCTTGAGTATTAATTAATTCCTATTCATATTTCATATTAATATTTTGAACATTACTTAAAGGATCAACTAGTTTTGTTTCATATATTAATTAATACTAGAATCGGTCGATTAATACGCTTGTTATTAATTCGGTCCTTTCACGGTAGTAAACTTGGATTATTAATGCATGCATCTCATGGTTAATAATCTAAGGGGAATTAATTATATTGATTAACCAATAAACCGCTTGTGTTGAGGTTATCAATCTCAATCGTTTTCATTTTAAGTTTATTGCTACTATCAAGTTAATATACGGCGCTTGTTCTATATTGACTCGATAGTAAGTTTTATTAATGAACGCATCTCGTTATTAATAACTACCCTCGATGAACTGGATATACTCCTCGATTGAGTATTCGAGAGGAAGATAGTTAAAGATATAACCGGGATCGACGAACATTTCATTAAGTGGATAAAAGCAAAACCAAGCCTCAATCTCTATTAAAGTAAACCACATAACTCGTTCATCTTCGTGTTTAATTTTAATTAAATCACTCAAACCTGAACCCCCCCTTTTGTTACTAGTTAATTAAAAAGAGAAATATTTCTTTCCTTGTGGATACGAACCTTACTTCATTATACTACGTATAATTGTTGTATTGAATATTATTTTGAGTGCACACCACGACAAATGCACGTCAAATTTGGCGCCGTTGCCGGGGAAAGGCAATAATTTTTCTTTTTATTTTAAATTAAGAAAAATCGAAAAAAAATATAAAAATAAATAAAATATAAAGAGTTCTTACTTTTTCTATTTCTGAGCTTACATGAGTATATGGTAAAAACCCGTTCTATAAACGAGCTTACTTACCAAACAAACCCCGAAATAGAACAAGCCTTCGAGAGGTTGAGAAATTTGTTTCCGCACACACCCTCGGAGGAATCCTCAAACGCTAGCTCTAGCTCTAGCGAATCCGAAGAGTCATTCCACATGGCTCTCGAGACAAGGACCTTGAGGGAGCTCACAGCTCCCAACTTGAATCAACAACCATTATGTATTACCTTTCCTACTCTTGATGAAGGTAATACATTTGAGCTGAAATCTGGGCTCATACATTTATTGCCATCTTTCCATGGCATGAGAGGAGAAGACCCGAATAAACATCTTTCGGAGTTCCACATCGTTTGCACAAGCATGTGCCCAAACGGTGCCACAGAAGAGCAAATAAAACTGAGAGCCTTCCCATTCTCCTTGAAAGATACCGCGAAGGATTGGCTTTTCTATCTTCCTTCGGGAAGCATCAACACATGGGCACAAATGAAGAAGTGCTTCCTCGATAGGTATTATCCTGCTTCCATCTCATCTTCTCTCAAAAAGCAAATAAGCAACATCGAGCAAAAGGATGATGAATCCTTATATGAATTTTGGGAAAGATTTAAGAAGCTATGTGCTAGCTGTCCCTATCATGGCTACTCAGAACAAGACCTCATCTTATACTTTTATGATGGTCTTGTTGATGATGATAGAAGAATGGTGAACGCCGCTTGTGGAGGCGGCATTGTTAATAAAACTCCTTCGCAAGCTATAAATCTTATCTCAGAATTGGCCGAGAACTCACGACAGTTCGGTCGCAGAACCTCAACTCGTAGAGTTGCCTCTGCAGAATCGACATCATCACTGGAGAGTCAAGTTGCCGGCTTGACTTCTTTGGTTAAGGATTTCCTCTTAAAATCCAAGACCCAAGAAGTCAAGGTCTGCGGCATTTGTACACAACAGGGGCACCCCACGGACTCATGCCCAACGCTTCAGGAAGACAATCTAGAACAAGTCAACGCCTTGGGTTTCCAAGGACATCAACAAAGGAGGTACGACCCATTCTCCAACTCTTACAACCAAGGACTGAGGGATCATCCAAACTTGAGGTATGGAAACCCCCAACAATCCAACCCATCTTCTCAACCATCTTACAACAATCAAGGCTCAAATTCTCAACCTAATATGTCAACTGATGACATGATAAGAGCTTTGACTTCAAACATGGTTACCATGCAACAAAGCATGGGACAATTTCAACAAACCATGATACAATTCCAACATGAGACAAAGTCAAGCATTAAAAATTTGGAAACTCAAGTTAGCCAAATTTCAAATGCCGTAAGCCGACTTGAAGCTAAGGAATCGGGTAAACTCCCGTCTCAAACGGAGCAAAACCCGAGACAACATGTGAACGCAATCATGTTGAGAAGTGATACGACAATGAAGGAGGTGGATGATCAAAAGGTCGAGGAAGCTGATCGCGAAGAAGCTCACCCAGAGGATGGAATCACAAAGGCAAAACTGCCTCCACATTCATCATATGAACTAGAGGCCCCATTTCCCGAGGCATTGAGGGAGACAAGGAAGCTTGACAAAGATGCTGACATCTATGAAACTTTCTCTAAATGTGAGGTAAACCTTCCACTCCTTAACTCAATTAAAAGTGTTCCCCGTTTTGCTAAATTTTTAAAAGAATTATGCAAAACAAAAACAAAAAATAAATTGAAAGAAAAACAAGAAGTCAAGGTTAGTGAACATGTATCGGCTCTATTTCAAAAGAAACTTCCCGAAAAATGTAGCGACCCGGGCATGTTCACTATTCCCTGCAAAATAGGGGACACCATATTTTCTAAGGCGTTGTTGGATTTAGGAGCATCAATAAATGTCATTCCTTATTCCTTGTATAAATCCTTACAACTCGGCCCGCTACATCAAACTGGTGTAGTGATTCAACTAGCGGATCGATCTAATACATACCCAAAAGGTGTAATAGAAGATGTGCTAGTAGAAGTAGAAAATTTGGTTTTCCCTGTTGATTTCTATGTTCTTGAAATGGGGGATGATAACCAAACAACACCCATTCTTTTGGGAAGGCCTTTTCTGAAAACCGCCAAAACAAAAATTGACGTGTCTAGTGGTTCATTAACGATAGAATTTGATAACCAAAAAGTAGAATTCAACATATTTGATTCTACAAAAAAACAAATTAAAAATCAATCTCTTTGTTCTTTAAATGTTTTTGAACCACCAACACTGAATATTTTTGTTAAGGAAGAACCCAGGAAATCCATTTTGAAAGGAAAACCACCTACCATTGAAGTGGTAACTAGGAAGAAAATTCGACCTTACTGGAAAAGGCCGAGGAAGAAAGCTGACATGGCCGTTGAAAATAAAACAAGGGATACTCATGATCCCACTTAAAACAGAAAATAAAATAAAAATAACGTCGTGCCGCGACATTAAATCAAGCGCTTCTTGGGAGGCAACCCAAGTTTGTATTTTAATCATTTTCATTTTTGTGTGTGTGTGAGTTAAAAAAAAAAAAAAAAAAAAGGCACCTAGGATTAAACCCGGCCGGGCTAAAACCATTACCCGGTCGGGTCGCTTCATAGAACACAGCACCCGGCCAAAATCGCCCGGGCGAGGAAATCGGGGAACAAAGGAAAAATAAATACGCCCGACCGGGTTACTTAATTAGACCCGGCCGGGTGAAGTTTTTAAAACACTCTCTGGATAGCGAACATTTAGGCCCGACCGGGTAAACACTTTACACCCGGTCGGGCGATTTTCAAAAAAGGCTACTGGATAAGCGATTTCTTAGGCCCGACCGGGTCTGTTAAATCACCCGGCCGGGTGATCGGGTAAAATCCCCATATGGGGGGGGGGGCGAAGACCCTCCTTCCCCACTTCTCTTCTTCCTCCATCGAACCAACCCTCCCAATTTCCTCCATTGTTAACCAAAAAAGCTTCCATTCACCTCCATTTCTACACCAAATCCATCAAATAAAATCATTTTCTTCATCTCCTCCACCCCCTCTTCCATTTTCTACCCACAAAACCCACCCAAATCCATCCCCAAAAGAAATCCGAAACCCTAACCCCAATACCCCAAAAGTTCCGATTTTTGCCCTAAAAATCCCAAGAAATCCCAATTTCTTCTCCTAATAATCATCCCCTCCACTCTCACAAACCCAAAATACCCAAAACCCACCAAAAATCCAAAGTTCCAAACCCCCCAACACCCAAGTCCGAAAATACCAAGTAAAAAATCCAAAAAAAAAAAAAAAACTACTTCATGGCTCCTAAAAAGTCCAAAGCATCTTCTTCAAGGGGTAACCAAGAGATTGCACCCGTTCCCGGTTTTGAGAGTGTGAAGTTTAACACCGAGGTCCACAAAAAGCGCTTCATAGAGCAAATCAAACGGGAGGTAAAACAATCCCGTTTTATATGCATTACTACGCTATTGTCATTCATGCTTGATGCGATTATGCGTGAGATTTTCACCAACATTGGGATGCTTAGGATTTTTGAGATGCAATATGTTACCTATCCACATTTGGTGTATGAATTCTTTAGCTCATTTAAGCAAATAGCAAATGTTGATGATCATGCTGAAAGTAGAATCACATTTCGTTTGTTGAATGAGAACCGTTCATTGACCAAGCGGGAGTTTGCCCAACACTTTGGTCTCCCCTTGTTCAATGAAGAACGTGAACATGACACTTTTGTGGGTGTGGAAATGTGGCAAAGGATGACAGGGCAGGTGGATGTGGAGCTTAGACACCTTAGTGTGAATCGTGTACAACATCCGGTCTTCCGAATTTTCTTGAAATTTTTGTCAAACTGTTTTCTCGGAAGACCAAATAACCATCACACAAGGGTCTGGGATGTTTGTATTCTTGGACAAGCTGTTTTACCAGGTCCGGATCACGTGGATGTTGCCTCCATTCTATGGGATCACTTCAAAACAGTGGCAACTTCCACGGGAACTATTAGAGTAGGGGGCTTGATTACACATTTAGCCACACTCTATGGCTTTGTAGACCCAGGCCCCATTACCTCAGCACAGCTTGTTTGCACATCATGGCTCCTGAAAAATACCAAAGATATTGTCTTTTCTCATAAAACACCCGGTGGGGTAGATATCTACAATTGGTTAATTGATCCACCACATCCTATTTACACACAAATACCCTCAGCCGACCTCCCTTTGGACCTTTTGAATCACCAAATTGGTGATGGACACCACTATTGTCTCCCTGGGAGAATACCACTCCACTACCAACAAGAACAACCCCAACAAGATCAGCCTGCGCATGAACCACCACCCCTCATTCCTGAACAACCTCAACCAACACCCAATGCTCACCAATATTCACCATTTGAGCAAGAAATGCTAAATAGCATGAATGCTCTAAACCTTAACTACACTCAACTTCGGGAGGAAGTTGTTTCGTATAGAACTGAGCAAAGACAGAGCTATGAGAGGATCGAGGAGCAACGGCAAGCGGACTGGCGGAGATACGAAGAAGACCGGCGGAGAGATCAGGAGGACCAAAGGAGGACTTTTGGCCCTATCTACTCCTATGTAGCACATCAGGGTGCCTTTGCCGCTATGACTACTCCTCCTCCGGCACCCTCATGGTATAACCCCACTGAATGGGGTTATTTTGGCGGTTCGAGCTCTAGTGGTGGAGGCGGGGACGACGGATACGGTGGTGATCGCATGGATGAGGATGCACACTTTGGGGGCTACCAGGGCCATGGAGGATTCTATGATGGCGGAGATGCAGGCGGGCACTAGGGACTGTGCCATGGACTAGCGGTGGGGGAGATCTGTCCGGTATGCTCACATTCATACTCTTGATTCTTGCTTTTATTTTATTTTTAAAAAAAAAAAAGAAGAAAAAAAAAAGAAAAAAAAAAAAAACACAGCTTGTTAAGTTGAAAACCCACAAAGGGCAGCTTAAGCAAAAATAAAGCAAAAATAAGAGTGAGTCTGTGAGATTTATTGAAGGAAAATGTGGGAAGCTGGGTTGAAAACCCAAAAGGGCGCCTAGGCAAAATGAGAGAATGAGAGAAAGTATTTCTTTTGATTTTACAGGATCCTAAGGGTGGTTACTAAAGGAAGTTCATTGCATGAGGAAAAAGAAATTGAAGACCCCTTGATGTATTCTTTTTATGTTGGGGATACTTTGTGATTATCTTGGTTCTAAGAACACTTTGTGATGGATGATGATCTTATCATTTGAGGATTTTTTTTTTTTTGGATTGCATTTACTCGAGACGAGTAAAGATTCAAGTGTGGGGGTATTTGATATGCACTAGTTTGTAGTGCATAAATGTATGTTTTTATATTTATTCTGTGTGGATTGTTTACCGTTTTTAGTTAGTTTTTAAGCAATCATCTTCATTTGTTTGTAATTGATTTTAATCATTTTTAGTAAGTTGTAAAGTAGTAGTAGAGTTATTGGCAAGGAAAAGAAGTGAAAAGAAGAAGAAAAATACCCAGGTGCACAGACCCGGCCGGGTCAGACACTTCACCCGGTCGGGTCTGATTTAACAGATGCAACTACTCAGGAAATTACATCACCCGGTCGGGTGAGGTATTTCACCCGGTCGGGTCCGACTTGACCCGGAACACCAGAACGTGCCGAAGATCGCCAGAACATGGAGGATATTTGATTTTGACATGCACCCGGTCGGGTGAGCACTTTACCCGGTCGGGTACCCGGCCCAAGGTGTTGAAAAACACCTATAAATAGCACACTTTTCCTTCACTATTTTTCATCCCTTCTTCCATACTCTTAAGCTCAGTTTAGAATAGTATTTCTTTTATATTTTTTATAGCATGTTTAGTCTCCAAATGAGGAGCTAAACTCTTCCATCTTGGTTTTGCTCCTTTGAAGTTTAATGAATTTGTAAGTTGTGAGTTATTATCTTTAATCTTCTTCCTTGAATATTAATTCTTCCTTTAAATACTATTTCTATATCAATGTTGGGGAGTGTTACTAAGATGACAATTAGTTAACATCTTGACATTAGTTATAGTAATAGTTATTTCTTCCTCTACGTTAATATCGGGGAGTGTTACTAAGATGACAATTAGTTAACATCTTGATATTAACTATAGTAGGATCCATCTTCTTTAATATTCTTTCTTGAGTATTAATTAATTCCTATTCATATTTCATATTAATATTTTGAACATTACTTAAAGGATCAACTAGTTTTGTTTCATATATTAATTAATACTAGAATCGGTCGATTAATACGCTTGTTATTAATTCGGTCCTTTCACGGTAGTAAACTTGGATTATTAATGCATGCATCTCATGGTTAATAATCTAAGGGGAATTAATTATATTGATTAACCAATAAACCGCTTGTGTTGAGGTTATCAATCTCAATCGTTTTCATTTTAAGTTTATTGCTACTATCAAGTTAATATACGGCGCTTGTTCTATATTGACTCGATAGTAAGTTTTATTAATGAACGCATCTCGTTATTAATAACTACCCTCGATGAACTGGATATACTCCTCGATTGAGTATTCGAGAGGAAGATAGTTAAAGATATAACCGGGATCGACGAACATTTCATTAAGTGGATAAAAGCAAAACCAAGCCTCAATCTCTATTAAAGTAAACCACATAACTCGTTCATCTTCGTGTTTAATTTTAATTAAATCACTCAAACCTGAACCCCCCCTTTTGTTACTAGTTAATTAAAAAGAGAAATATTCCTTTCCTTGTGGATACGAACCTTACTTCATTATACTACGTATAATTGTTGTATTGAATATTATTTTGAGTGCACACCACGACAAATGCACGTCAACTTACCAATGGACGTGGGAAAGAGGAAAAGGAACAGATAATTGGGTTGAGAAAAAGCTTGACCGCATCATTGTCAATGATGAGTGGTGGATTATGTTCATGGCAGCCCAAGCTTCATCCGTAGAAGCACCCGTAAGCGAGCACATGGCACTTTACATTGATGTTCTACCAACTGTGCATGGGAAAGTAAGGAAGAAATTTAAATTTGAAAATAACTGGCTAAAGGAAGAAGAGTGCAGGAATGTAGTAACTAATAGTTGGAGTGCGGGAAGTAATCTGTCTGTCCCGGAGAAGATTTATTTTTGTGGGGCTGAGTTACTTCGCTGGGACGGGTGTAGAAAAAGGGGCATTTGACATCAGATCATGGCCTGTAAGCGAAGATTAGCGTGGCTTCGAGGCCGACATGATCAAAATAGTACAATTGAGTTTATTAAATCACGGGCCCATCTTTGTACCCTTATGGAGAAGGAGAATGCTTACTGGAGACAGAGAGCCAAGGAATTCTGGCTGAAGGAGGGAGATATAAACTCTCGCTTCTTCCACAATGCGGTGAAACAGTGCAGGAGAAGGAATAAAATTATAGGGTTGAAAACAGCTGGAGGGGAGTGGGTCACAGATCGGGATAAAGTCGGGGGAATGGTGGCCGAATACTTTTCTAATATTTTTCGGTTTCAACAGGAGGAGGAGACGGTGGAAGCCGTGTATTTCAGAAACCGTGTGTCTGCTGGTCAGAATATTGAGCTCCTACGACCCATCCGTCTGGAAGAGGTGAAAGAGGCAGTTTTTGACATGCATCCTGACAAGGCACCAGGCTCAGATGGGATGAATCCGGCTTTCTTTCAGGCATATTGAGATATCGTGGGTCCCGAAGTAGTACAACTCTGTTCAGGTATTTTTGAGTCTGGCTCTCTCCCTAAGGAATTAAATCTTACTAATCTGGTTTTAATTCCGAAGAAAGATAAGCCAGATAATATGGGTGATTGGAGACCTATAGCTTTGTGCAATGTAGTGTATAAAATTTTTCTCAAAAGTACTGACTAATCGCTTAAAAGGCATTTTGGGTGATTTGGTTGATGAAAGTCAAAGTGCGTTTATTCCTGGGCGCTCTATAATTGATAATGTGGTTTTGGCTTTCGAAACACATCATTATTTGAAAAGGAAAAGTAGTGGTAAGGAAGGTTATGTTGCTATGAAACTTGACATGAGTAAAGCGTATGATAGGGTCAGCTGGAATTTTTTGAAGGGATGCCTAGTTGCTTTGGGTTTTGATGTTAGATGGGTGAACATGGTAATGGAATGTGTTTCAACTGTCAGCTATTATATACAATTTGACAGGGATTTTTTGGGTCCTATTGATCCAGGCAGAGGTCTTCGTCAAGGGGATCCTTTATCTCCTTATTTATTCATTTTAGTGGCTGAGGGTCTGAGTGCGCTGATCCGTAAGGCGGAAGCTAGAGGGAAGGTCCATGGAGTGGCAGTCTGCAGAGGGGCACCCAAAGTCTCACATCTTCTGTTTGCAGATGATAGCTTTTTAATTTTTTAAAGCTAAAAGCTCTGAGTGCAATGCCATTAAAAACATTTTGTATCTCTATGAAAAAGCTTCTGGGCAGGTGATAAATTACTCGAAATCTTCCTTGTCTTTTAGCCAGAATGTGGGTGAACCCACCAGAGAGTTTTGCTGTCAGTTCTTCGACATCCCACGAGAGAGCGGTCAAGGGCGTTATCTGGGGCTGCCAACTTTAGTGGGGAGGAATAAAGCGGCCATTCTGGGTTATCTGCGGGATCGGGTGATAAACAGGTTAAAAACCTGGAACAATAAGTTCCTATCCAGAGCAGGCTGGGCGGTTCTCATCCGGAACGTTGTACAGGCCCTACCTAACTACACTATGAATGTTTTCTTGTTGTCTAAAGATTTGTGTGATGAAATTGAGAAGCTCATGAATGGATTCTGGTGGAAGGGCAATAAATTCGACCAAAAAGGAATCCGATGGCGCCGTTGGGAGCTTTTGTGTAAACCAAAAAACGAAGGAGGTTTGGGGTTTCGTAGAATCCGAGAGTTTAATCTGGCTATGTTGGCAAAACAGGGGTGGAGGTTAATCACTGAACCTAGTAGCCTGATGTGTAGGGTAATTAAGGCGAGGTATTACCCGAACATGGACTTCTTGAATGCAAAGTTGGGGAATAATCCATCATTCATATGGCGAAGCTTTTTTGAAACCCAAGAGATTCTGAGGAAGAGTACCCGTCGCAGAGCAGGCAATGGTAGGGAGGTGCAGGTCTGGGCAGATGCGTGGCTTCCGGGACAGGGTTCAGGTCGGGTGCAGTCCGCTAAGCCCCCGGGGATTAGAGACATGAATGTAGCAGCATTGCAAGACCATACGGGTAAGGCGTGGAATAAAGAGACGATTTCCTCTATTTTTGAGGCGGCAAATAGAGACATCATTTTGAGCATCCCCATTAGCAAAACGGATAGGCCCGACGGTTTTTGGTGGGCAGAAGAGAAACATGGTGAGTACTCGGTAAAAAGTTGCTACAGGAAACTTGCCTATGTGGCCCCTACAGGGAATGCAGATTATTGGGCAAAATTGTGGGCCCTTGAAGTTCCACCAAAATTCAAATACTTCATTTGGCAGGTATTGGATGGGACGCTCCCAACGGTGGATAACTTGCAAAAAAGAGGGGTGCAACTAGTAGGCAATTGTAAACTTTGCGAAGGGGCAAGCGAAAATCTAGAGCATGTTTTCTGGGAATGTGGTTATTCCCAAGACGTGTGGCATCAGGTCGGGGTTATTAGAGCCACGGGGGTCACCAATGTGCAGGATTGGATTAGATATCAGCTCAGGAATGCCACCATGGATAAAAAATGCAAATTTGTTGCTCTTCTGTGGAGTATATGGAAGAGACGAAATGGTGTCATTTGGAAGGAGGAGTGGCAAGGAAGAGAGAGTGTCATTACTAGTGCTATGAGCATGGTAAATAATTGGAAGGGGGCACAAGGGGAAGTAATCAAGAAGGAGAGGAGGAAGGGCAGTGGTCAGAAACTTAAATGGCAAAGACCGGGAAGAGAATTCATCAAAATAAATGTGGATGCGGCCGTTGACCCGGGTGGAAACAGACGGGCCTGGGGATGGGTGGCGAGAGACGAGATGGGTGAATTTATTAAGGCAGGTGGAGTGTCAACACAAGCAAGCTGGACCCCGGAGGAGACAGAGGCGGTGGGCTTAAGGGATGCAATGCAGGAGGCGGCCGCAGCGGACTGGAGGAATGTGGAATTCGAGACGGATGCCCTCTCAGTAGTCCAGGGCATTCGGCAGAAGGGAGGTTTGGCTTATTTGGATTTAATTTTGGATGATATTCGAGAAATTATTTCAACAAAGAGTAGCTATAGTGTCTCTTTTTGTAAGCGATCTGCGAATCATGTGGCTCACGCGTTGGCAAGGGCTCATGTTGTTCTCTCAGATCATAGGAGTATTTTTGATGTTGCTCCTGATTACATTGTAAGCTAAATGGCTAACGATTTCATAAATTAATACAAGCTGTCAGTTGATGATAAAAAAACCTATTTGATCTTTAGCCTTTTGATTATATATATTTATACGCTTCATGATTTCAAACGAATACATACCCTACCTATTTGACCTTTACCATTTTGATAACTTACTTCTTCACTATTTTA